CTAATTCGATGATGCCGGCTGGCACACTGATTCACTATGAATGTAGGCCGCACCCCCTAAAGGCAGAAGCTCGTACTACATCCGGTTCGCCCGCTATTGACACAGTCTTGAAACTTTCCGATCGCACCTCGTAACAGCACCAGATTCACGTTGGGTTGGAAGTTTGGATACGCTGCGTGATGTGGGAATAAACGAGCAGTTTATCTGAGGAGAGTTGCACAATGTTACAAATTTATTATGTCATGTCTTATTGCAGATTGTTCATGAGGTATGTGTCATGCAAAGGGCAAACTCAGGCAGCTTTCCTACTCCCTCCATATTTTGGTACAACAAAAAAGCAACTTCGAGTGACGTCATTGAAATCAACCAGATCACTTGAGTTGCCATTTCTGTTAAAAACACGGAGTGTAAATTGAGACTAGGGCAGAAAATTTCAGGGAGGGCCAAATTACTCCAATGCAGTCGCAGTTTCTATGTCAACATTCCACAGTTCTCTCGTCATACGTACTTTTTTAATTACTCGCAATCACAATACACTTTTAATCACCTCTAATAAAGGCCATGCTGCCTATGTATGGGTGGCTGAAAGAATTTCGAACAGCAAAGGGCCGGCCCTATTGGGTGACGCTGTCCATGATTCGCGTAAGCGTTAATGTTCTAAAATGAAGCACGAGAATGAAACTCGATGTCCATTAGCGCCTTTTGATTAAAAGACCGACTGTTCCGGGAATCATCACATCGGTGTGCAAAACCATAACAGTTATGATGATAACAAAGAATAATTCGCATTACATTAGTAATGTCTCTTCCTGAAATAAGATTGCGGCAACTGGACACGTCCCAATGCAGATTTTGTGAAAACAGCTGATCAATAACCAAACACGCCAAAGAACCACCCATCAACTAAAAACTCACTAGATAGGGTTCTAAATGACTTTATCACGTATTACGTTAAAAATATGGTTCGGATTAGAATGTAAAGGCTGAATTCATAAAATGGAAACCTGTTTGCTGGTGTCGTGAAAGTGAATGCTTCTTTCTCTGAGGTGTCAGATTGAATGACTGAGATTAGCTCATTCTAACGGACACCACAGATTAGGTGCCCCCTTCACTACATCTGAAGACAAGGACGGACTTTATTTTGACGTCCGTATGCTTACACTGCTTTCATCATTCTTGTTATCAAACTGTTTACGATTGTGCGTTAGCAAGCTGTGGCGAAGTCCCTTTGAACAAAGAAGTGATTATAATATTGACGTGTAATCTCTTCTAAGGAGGAGACCAGGTGGAGTACTCGTGAGTGCGTCTCTTGAAGGAATGAGACCAGTGAATTATAAGAAAGTCTCTCGAAGGAGAGAGACAAGATTTCTCTCTAAAAGAAACTACAAGTAGCCCTCGATTTACGCCGGGGATGAGTTCCTGAACGAACCGGCGTAAACGGAATCGGCGTAAATTGAAACTCTTCTTATAACGTGAATCAATGGGAAGTCAATGACATGTTCCCGGCACCCAAACATTGACGAGTAATATAATGGCATTAAATTTAAAGCTCTGAAATAACGTAAATAAAATAAAGGAAATTTAAAAAATATATTTTATACATTTACAATCGGCAATTCGTTGGTCCCCACGATTCTTTCATGTGACTGATGCGTAGTCATCTCTGCTGTTATGCGATAGTTGCATTCATGTAAGACGCCGACCTATAGAAAATCGCGTAGTAAAAATAACCCCGGTACCTCCGCAGAGATTAAATTAGTCATTTGAAAGTTTAAAGCGCCAGGAATGAAACTACACAAGAGCAAACTCGCATATGCAAAAGTTTGCATTTCACAAACAGATTTTATCGATTCATCGATCTCATTGGAGCAAATTCGCGTTAACGAAACATACGTAATTGCAGAGATGACTGTATTTATAATTTTTATTCAAAATCAGCGATGTAAGAATTACGATTTAGTATAAGAATCAGTTCGAGATACATTGTAAAACGTTATAAATAACAGTAAAATATATTTTTTCCACTTTCTGACTTTCTGGTTTCAAAATCGGCGTTATTCTGAATCGACGCAAATCGAGGACTACCTGTACTAAATAAATATACTGAATTTTAATTGCAGTTGTAACTTTATTCTGCGTTCGATCCCCGTTAGCGACCCTGAGTTAGTTGGAGCAAAACAACGAGTGTGGACGGTTATAATACAGTCCTCGAAGCATCGCGTGTTTTATAACATCAGACGATGGACAACGTCAAAAAACTCCTGTCGCGTTCTTGCTTCAATGCAATTTCGTGCTTGCTGTTACGTTGTATTACTTGTTAGAGGGAACGGTGGAAATGTACAGTTATATTTGTTTATATGTCAAAAATAACCACTGAATGTATAAATAATAGTTGGCCATTGTAGGAGGAATAAGCAATGACATCAGCACAGTTGATCTTTTTTGTTGTTTAGGGTCCACGCAGAGCACTGACAAGATGTGTGACATCACGTGTCTATTTTCATTCCCATTTCACGAGACTGTATCTTTTACAACTGGTAAGAAGGGCTTAAGTAAGCAGAAATTACATTTGACATAAGCCCTTTTAACAATCACCAACACGTAACATATTCCAAATAGCATGACATATGCCACTCTGGAATGACGCCAATTGGCCCTTAAACTAGCAGAAGGTAGGATCTAAGTGCAGAGTAAAAAGCAGGTCAGAGTGGGGCAGGACTAGCACAGCATCAATTTAACTAAAAGATAAAGGTTCCGAATTTATTTCATTCTATCGTATTTACAAGAACTCTCCGACTTCCATCAAGTCAGTTTCTCCAAAATTTGGTATCTACCTGCACGTCCACATAGTGTTACAACCCAGAAAACCTATATCGTCATGTTCTAAAACACGCGCGTTCATAACATTCCACGTAAATGTTCGTAACTTCCCTTAAATTGTGGAGAAATGCGGTGGAACACACAAAAATTGTTGTCAAATTGCCTCCCGTTACGTTCGGCAACATCTCTTGGATTACGAGACTTTCATCGTTGCTTGCGAGCAGTGCAATGTGCTAAGAATAGACCAACGTCTTACGCGTAACACAGTCAGCAGCGGAATTGGCAGAAACTGTGAGTGGAGTACAGAGTACTCCTGTAGGCAGATACAATCACTGAAAGACTTAGAAGATGAATCATTAAGTATGATTGGTAAATATTCAAAGTTCGATCATAAGAAAAGTGTGTCGTAGGCATGTGAGTCTCGTTAAAGAGAAATGCGGAATATTACAGCCGTGATAGTCTCCTGATAGACTTATATAGTCAGCTGGTTCAACGCGTATCTATCGAACAAGACGTTTAAAATCTTCTGTGAACAGCGTATTTAATTAGGGGCAATCCGAATATTAAAAGGGGGAACTTACAGAATGAAATAACAACATGACAAACCAAATCAAATTTCTACGTAATTTTCTGTATGAACGTGGTAGGTCATGAACACGTAGCCTAGAAAATACAATTTCAAAGTCAAAGCTTAATTATTTAATATTTATACTGAACCTTGCAGTTATGACATGTTCGTATTTACGTGATAAACACATCAAAACTCAAGTTTCATAATTTCAATTACTGGTTCAACCACTGATTTTGTAATGTGAGTTTCTTACATCAGTCAAGAAGTTGATCTGTTTTGAGGGAACATATTGCCCTGACAACGGGCATGACATATTTCTCAAAAATGATGGTAACCAGGTACAAGGCTACATTGTACCATATCAATCACACAAGGTACTTGATTGATTAATCACAACGTGGATACCCGGTCAGCCAAACTCCTCTGCCCCACCGATCAGCACCATCGCATCCCACTTGCCACCTCCTGTCTAAAAACTAAAAATTAAACCTTAAGATCGCAATTGGAGTGTTTCCCAAAATGCTGCATAATTATCAACATCCGACACAGCTCGTCCCCAAAAGACGAAGACTTCAGCAGTGAAAACTTTAGGACAAAAAGTAGGACACAGTGTCCACTCTCACAAAATCAGGATCAAATTACCCCTGAATTATACTGGGAACGACCCATTCTTCAAGTGCCTGAGCACTGCGGTCCCAACTTTTCGTTGGCTCGATCTGTAGACATTCGGTAGGACTCCTTGGACGAGGGATCGGCCTCTACCTGTACACAGGACAGCACAACACAACATCCATGGCTTGAGTGGGATTCGAACCCATGGTCCCAGCGACCAAGCGGCACAAGGCCCACGCCTCAGACCGCGCGGCCAC